TCGCGCTCTCTCCCTCTCTCTCTCTCTCTCTCTCTCTCTCTCTCTCTCTCTCTCTCACACACACACACACACACACACACACACACCACACATCACATACATACATACACCTTAAATTTAGACTCCCACAGAGGATTCTTTTTTTTTTTTTTTTTTGGTTTTTCAAGACAGGGTTCATTTTGTGCTTTAATTCAGCTACATGGATGATAAAATTCTGTTGTTTTGTTTTACAGGCTCAATTCCAGTGGTTACAGATCTGAGTCCCTTTCAAATCATTTATAGAGCACTTGGCCAGAAACTGATTCCTTGAGCTCATTCCAATGTCTCCTCAGTTTGACCAGTGAAATTAAGAGTAACCAGCCCATTTCACTTTACACTACTTAGTTTGACAAATATATTCAGAGCTATCATGTCTATAGACACCCAAACCAGCTTGCAAATTTTTAAGTCATTGAATAGGAGTATCTAATGATTCTATGTCCTATATCCCTCTTGCTACATCCTAAAATAGACTATATGCACTTCTATTACTCCTGGAAATATAGCTGGTTCATTTAAATCTAATTAGATCAGAGAAGCAATGTATTCTACTTCCACTGAAATCCTAGAAGCCCCAGAACCAATTCATATGACCCACCATTCACATTCTGTTTCTCTAAAAACTCTCCAACTGCCAAGTTCTAATACTAAATCTCAATACAAAAATCTTTATTCCAGAGAAAGAACCATTTTTGTGTGTGCATACACATGGGTGTATATGTGTACATTCATGCATATATAGTAATGTCTCTATACATGGTTATGCACTGTGTATATGATGGCAGTCCCAGAATGTTATAATGGAACTGGTAGTACAACCATTATAATGCTGTCACTCATGTTTTTGAGAGATGCTGAGTTGCCAGCTAAAAGTCACTCATGTGCATTCCGTGGTATTTTCTTTTCCCCTGTCTTCTTTTTTAGTTCTGTGAACTCTTATTGGCTTTTTATTTCCACAAGTTTCATCTATTGTAAAATTAAATTGGTGTTTATATCTTTGAAAATAAATTCATCTGTGTTAGTCTGTCACCAATTTTCTATGTATCAAATTGTTTCTACTAACACAGAATAAGTTCCTAAAGTTTACTTTGGTTCATGGGTCTAGTCTAAAGGAGCCATATTCCATGGGAGCTTGCTACTGGAAGAGTTCCAAAATGATTCAGAGAATTCCATTTCCAGAGACAGGGAAAGCATGTGCCTGTGTTTTTTTCTAGTCTGTACCTTTCTGGCTTACTGGAATTAATTCAGAGTGACATGGCCCTGATGACAATTACCTAATTCTATTCTCTTCCCAAATCCTCGCCTCTAAATCCAATTGGAGTAAGATTTTCTCCTGAGTACCTCATTGTGGGGATTAAATTTTAGCATGTGAAGTTTTGGGGGACACACTGAGATTGCATGCCAGTACCAGCACTGTGGAAATTAAGGCCATGGCCTGTTTAATAGTCCTAGCAATAATGTTGCTCAGATGTGATCTAGAATAACACTTATAACTGCATCTCAGAATTATCACACTAGATTTTAAGATATCAAACCAATCAGCTGAGATTCAACTTGTTGAAAATGGGCATGAATAATAAATACAACCATGACTTCGATGACAAAACGTCCAAACATGTTGTCCTAAAGATGCAAGTCTACGGAAGCTCTATGGTGACAGCAATGAACTTGTCCTAGCTAATGTACTGTATCTCTACAGGGTTTGGTCAGCCTTTGCCATTTTGTTTTCTCTTTCAGAGTTCTTTAGAGGAGGTTCTTCAGGCCAGCATACATATTTCCCTGCCAATCCTTGTGCTTGATAAGCTTATGCCACAAGAGGAATCTGACTAAAATTGGGCTTTTCACATTTTAATTGACATTGTTCTGATATTAGGCATATATTATGTAGTGTTTGATAAGCTTAAACATATTCCTTGCCTCAAAACAGTGCTATTAATCTTGTTAAAAGTTTTCGAATGTCTTTCTTCTAACATTGTGAGTTATGCAGTTCACTATCACCCCCAACAATCACCCTACTAGGCATTAGCACTGCAGAACTTCTTGCTTCTATCTAATTGTGACTTAATATTTATTACCCAACCATTTCCCCATCACTATCAGCAAACTCTTCTCATCCTCTGTAAGTACCATTCTATTTCCAACTTCATTATACTCTCAATTTCTATCAGATTGGCTTGCTAGAGTCCTGTTTTGAGTGCTGTCATGAAAGCCCTTGTCTTTCTGTGCCTTTCTTATTTCACTTAAGACAATGAACCTCCATTCCACCCATGTTTTTGTAAATGACAGGACGTTTAGTCTTTGTTATGGGTGGATAGTATTTCATTGTATATGCACTCCACATCTTTTTTATCCAATCATTGTTGGACAGCTGCAATACTTGATGATGATGATAATAAGTATGTTGCCAATTTTTATTTTTGTCTATATTCTAGCACAATTTACAGTGTACTGCCAAATTCATTAAAACATGTTAACTTTCAAATAGCCTCATGCAGATCCAGTAGGCTGTAGTCCAGAAGCAGGCTTTGCTAATGTAGAAGGCGGCAGCCCCATGTGTGTCTCTGAATATTTGCCAGTGGGAAAGGAGAGGTGGCAGCTGGTGACATTGAAGATTGTGCCCCTGTTGATGGGACAAAGTTAATTAATATATGTATGCCTATCTTATTATCTTTTGACAAAAATAAAGTAATTTATTTTGAAACAAAAAGTTTATTGAAAAAATACATTGTATGTTGAAGTGTACATGTGTTTGTTTTAAACTGATTGTTTAAAAGCCCAAAAGGTAAAGAAATAATGTATATAAAATGAAATATGTTAAATGTGGCATGCCATTGAGTTTTTGTCAAATGGGCCAAATGAGAGACAACCAGGGAGAGGGAACATCAGTTGAGGAATCACCTCCATCAGATTGGCCAGTGGGCATATGTGCTGATTTGTGTGAAGTGAGCCAGCTCACTGTGGAAGGTAGTACTTCTTGGCAGGTTGGCTGGTTTATATAAAAAAGGTAGATAACCAGGAGCCTGGAAGCAAACCAGCAGCAGTGCTCCTCTGTGGTCTCTGCCATCAGCTTCCTTCCTTCCTTCCCTGGATGGACTGTAAACTAAAAACTGAATCACCCTTTCTTTCTAAGTTGCTTCTGGTCACAGTGTATATCACTGCAACAGAAAACAATCTAGAATATGAAGATACAGTTAATCTGCTATTGAAGTACTATGTATTATGAGTTTAATCTACCCTGTGTATATGGTGTCTATAGAGCCTAGAGCAGAGCATGGTGGTGACTGTGGCCTTCATAGTCAATTACCATTCATTCACTCACTGGCTCTCCTGAGCTTTGTGCATGGTGGGTTCCCTTACAAGCTTTGCTTACAGATTTTTATCTTGCAACAATATTATTACTGTATCTATGTTTAAACATTGTGGTGGTTTGAAAGAAAATGGCCCCCAAAGGTAATAATACTGTTAGGAGGTGTGGCTTTGTTGGAGTAGGTATGACCTTCTTGGAATAGGTATGGCCTCATTGGAGGAAATGTGTCACTGTGGAGGTGGGCTTTGAGGTCTCATAAGCCACATCCAATGAGACAGTTCACTTCCTCTTGCCTGCAAGATATAGGACTTTCAGCTACTTCTCTAGCACCGTATCTGCCTGTGTACCACCATGTCCCACCATGATGATAATGGACTAGATCTCTGATAATGTAAGCCAGCCCCAGTTGAATGTTTTCCTTTATGAGAGTTGTAGTCACGGTGTCTCTTCAGAGCCATCTAGACCCTAAACAGAAGTGTTGCTATTGTATTATGTTGTCTATAGTATCACATGTTGTAGAGGTTGGTAACCAGGTGTGTGATGGGCTGTACCACCCGGAGTTGGGGAAAATTGACTACTGCTGTTCACACAATGATGGAATTGCTAAAGGACACATTTCTCAGAACATATCTCACTGTTACTCAATGCTTGTCTCACATACAGGAGAGGCCAGCAGGTTGGAATCAGGGTGGACCATGATGTTGCTTGAGTCTAGAGATAAGAACTTCCCTGTCCACAAAGGAGGTGATTTTTCTGTTCTTTTACTCAGAGCTTTAATTGATTGGCTGAGGCTCACCCCTTTAATGGTTGATAATCTCCTTTGCTCAAAATCTATTGATTCAAATATTAATATCGTATAAAAATATCTTCACAGAAACATCCAGAATAATGCTTGACCAAACATCTGTGTCCTGTGGTTCTGCCAAGTTGGTACATAAAACTGAACACCCAAGAGCTCTCTCCCTCTCCCTCTCCCTCTCCCTCTCCCTCTCCCTCTCCCTCTCCCTCTCCCTCTCCTTCTCTTTCTCCCTCTCCCTCTCCCTCTCCCTTTCCCTCTCCTTCTCCCTCTCCCTCTCCCTCTCCTTCTCCCTCTCCCTCTCCCTCTCCCTCTCCCTCTCCCTCTCCCCCCTCTCTTTCTGTAAGAGGGCAAGGCACTATGATTATCATATTCTGGTCCTAAAATGCCAAGACATGGTGCAACAATAAACTAGTTTTCTAGATACATAGTGTTAGTTTTCACAGAGGCATTTGGTGTGTACTTAGAATCAAATTACCCTCCTTGTGAAAAAGAAGATGTGTCCTGAGTTTGTGTCCCATTTGTTTCTTTTTAAGTAGTGTTTCTACATGAGGTCTAAATTCATACTCCAGTAGTCTAAAATAGAAACTTTATTTCTGCTCAGATTTTGCAATGACGTTTCAGGGAAATAGTTACAGTTGCAACAGCCTTTATTTTTTATTCTTAGTCACAGCACATGCTGAATCTTGTTACCTCTTCACTGAGGCGCTTTGTTGAATTTTTCCATTTGCAGAGAGTAATGGTGGTGGATGCTTTCAATTCTAGATTATGCCAAATCTCATTTCCCCAAATCTCAGCAATAAGTTGAATTTTTTAAAAAGTAATATTTTCTGCCTTTTCCCTCGGGTCTGTTCAGTAAGGCAAATACTCCAATCACTGTAGTGGAGGGTACAGGGCTTTGCTGATTTGAGACAGCCATTTGAAGTCTTCTGTCCCTTTACTTATTCACTCTGTTCCTCCTTCTAACCTTGCCTGTGCCCTTTAGGGTTTGTCCTTGCTTCCCTAACTCTTCTTTTTGTGTTTCTAATCCCCAGCCCAGGCAGGGATTTTGAAATATGTGTGATTTTGCATTCTGTACATTGAAGAGCTTGCACTTTTGGTGTCAGTGATTTTATAGTTCCTTTTAAAACTAAGCTTGTTATTTGAGAAAATTATAGATTAAAGTGCATTTGTAAGAAATACAAAGAAATTCCCCATGTATCCTGTATCTAGTTGTCTCTTCTCCCCACTAATAATTTATTTAAAAGCATTAGGAAATGACAACCAAGACACAGATTTTGACTCAGGCAAGATACTGAACACTGCAAGTCCACCCCTGCAGGCCTTCTGGCAACCACTGATCTATTCTCCATTTCTACAATTCTGTCACTTTAAGATTAATGTAATGGACTCAAAGATTATGTAATTATTTGAAATTGGATTATTTTTGGTTGGTTCCACATAATTCTGTGAAGAATTATATAGGTCATTGTACTATCAACTTGTTTCCTTTTCTATATGAGAAGTGAGTTTTTTGTTTTTGTTTTTGTTTTGTTTTGGTACAGCTGTCTCATTATTTTTAATACATTTTTTAAATTTAAATAACATTTTCATTTATTTTACAAAACAGTTTCCCTTCCCTCCTCTCCTTCCATCCTCTCCCCTTTCCTGTCTACCACTCTCTTATCCACTCACTCCTCCTCCATCTCTATTCAGTAAGAAGAAGGCCTCCCATAGGCTTGCACAGAGATGGCACATCAAGTTAGGCAGGCTCATTATTGTTCACTCAATGAAGGGCATCTTTGTTGTGACAATTAAAGAAGCTTTCAACATTTGTGTGCAAGTTCATATAATGATGCATTTTTATTTTTCCAGATAAATGCTAAGGAGTTTACCACTTGGTTTCTAAGTAGAAACCCCTTATTTCATAAACATTGTATTAGCCTTTGGGAGAAATCAAGACAATTATATGAAGAATCCTTTGAGAAAGCAAAACTTCATGTTATGTCTGAATTTTCTTCTAAAAGTCTTAATTGAAATTCTAACTCCAGTACCTTAGAAGTTGCTTGCACTTAAAGTTAAAATAGGGCTTAAGGATGAATATGATCAGTGGGTTTTGAGAAGAGGACACACACAAGACAGACAGAGAGAGCCATGGGAATGTCAAGAATAGCAGGAGCAAATCAAACCAACTGATACTTTGATCTCGGAATTTCGGTCTCCATGGCTGTGAGAAAATGAATTCTGTGGCTTAGCTACCTGCCCTGCGGTGTTGACACAGGAGCTTTATTGAACCAAGAGAAGCCAACAGCCATGCAAGATAACAAAACTGAAAAACAAAATATTTAAAGAAAATGCCAACTGTTTCCAGAATGTCCAAAATGTTTAGCACTGAGAGCCACACTGTTCAAATGAATCAGTCTTTCACCACCTGCTCCAACACTTGATGTACTCACTATACTTTGTTTTAGTCTTCGGCAAGCTGTGTGATGTTATTAATTTTCATTTGAATTCTTTGATAGCTAAATGATTTTGAGCTATCTTTATGCTTGTTATCTGTATGTCTACATTATTGGAATAGAAACCTCCATATTTTGCTCATTTTGCTGAATGGAATGTTTATGTGGACACATTAAGATTTTAATTTTAAAATAAATTCTAGGTATTAGTTGTTTGTCAGATAACACTGACAGAGTTACAGATTATTTTTCTCACAGTCTGTAATTTGTTGTTTTCTTCTTTCCAACAGCTTTTCAAAAATAAAGGTCATTAATGAGGAAACACCACATTGTTATTTCCTTGTTTGGTTTTGTCCTTTAAGTGTGAAGGTCAACATTATTTTGTCTAGCTGATATCTGAGGATCTCCTACATGTTCTTTGTAACAGTGTTATAATTCTACCTTTATTTATGCAATCTATTTCAAATCAATTATTTTCAGTAATGTGTTGGTTGGATTTAGGGCTTCATATCTACATGTCAAATAAAAGTTCAACCACTGAGCCACTGCTCCATTAATTTAACTTTTTACTGAAGTCTTAGCTTGCTTTCTATTCTGTGATAAACACCATGATCAAAAGCAACTTGGGGGGGGAGTGTTTATTTCAGCCCGAAGCTGTGGTCCTTCATGAAGGGAAGTCTGTGCAAGAACTGAAATGTCAAGCATAGTTTGTTGACAAGGCTCTTGTCCCACTGAATGACTTTGGTCGCTTTGAGAGTGTCAGCATGCCATACTTTGGTGTGCTGTTTCTAGATTATTTAATTACATTTTCTGTGTACATATCATACTTCTTTGACATTTTACAATTGATAATTTATTTCATGAATTACATTGACACTAAATTAAAGAAAACAATAGAGTACAAAGAGAACCAGTGAGTCTTCACTGTCAGATAAACTTCTGTTTTGTTACCACTGACTTGCATAATCATTCTCAATATAGACATGCTTATGTTCCTAATTATTAATATTTAGGACAGTATCTACAATAAACTTATTCAATACACTGGATGAAGTTAACAAATGCTACACTGGAGAGCTTAGGAGAGTAGACATTTTCTTTAAATGTGTGGAGGTAATTTAATAAAATATATGTATGTGCTGTTTGTAATATACCCCTAATTGCCAACACTTCTAATTTATCCATGCTTACAAAAAAGTCTGCTCAGAGTCAAAATTCAATATCCTGTCTGTATCTAATAATTTTCTGAGGGTTTTATTCAAATATGTTAATTATGGATAAGGTTCTGAGACTAGACTAAAGACACAAAATGTATCACCCTAAAATCAATTTCCATTTAGAATTTGACACATAGTCTTTAATACTAGCACTCTATGCAGAGGCAAATAGAATTTTGTAAGTTCAGGCCAACCTGGTCTACATAGTGAGTTTTAGGGCAGACAGAGCTACATAATGAGACCATGCCTTTTCTTTTAAAATAAATTTTATTTAAATTAGAAACAATCTTATTTTAAATATAAATCCCAGTTCCCTCTACTCCCATCCTCCCATTGCCCTACCAATCCCCCCATCCACTCTCCAGGAGTGAGGCCTTCCATGAGGGATCATCAAAAATCTGTCCAGTCATTTGGGTCAGGGCCTAGGCCCTGCCCTGTGTATCTAGGCTAAGATAATATCCTTTCATGGTAAATGGGCTCCTGAAGTCTGTTTCTACATTAGGGATACATCCTGGTTTCACTGCCAGAGGCCCCATAGACTGCCCAGTGATCCTAGCTGACACCCACATTCAGGAAGCCTCGTTTGGTTCGGTGTTGGTTCACCAGTTATCAGTCTGGGGTCCATGAACAACCCCATCCATGTTCAGGTCACCTGTTTCTGTAGGTTTCTCCAGGCCGGTCTTTACCCCTTTGCTCATCACTCCGCCCTCTCTGCAACTGGATTCCAGCAGTTCAGCTCAGTGTTTAGCTGTGGGTGTCTGCTTCTGCTTCCATCAGATACAGGATGAACACTCTAGGATGACATATAAGGTAGTCATCAATCTCATTGTCAGAGAAGGACATTTAAGGTAGCCTCTCCACTATTGCTTAGATTGTTAGATGGGGCCAACCTTGTAGATCTCTGAAAATTTCCATAGTGCCAGATTTCTCTTTAAACCTACAATGGCTTCCTTTATAGATGTGTCTCTTTTCTTGCTCTCCTCTATTCATCTGCCCACTCAATCTTCCTGATCCCACATGTTCTCATCCCCCATCCTCTTCTCCCCTCCTCTTTCTCCTACCACCCTCCCCCATGCTCCCAATTTATTCTTTCTTTGTTGACTCAAAGTTCTTTGTTACGATAAATCTTTCTGCCAAAAGCTGCTGAGCCCCACCGCCACGTGTAAGCTTTTTGCCATCTGCCTGCCCGAGTTAGGCCCAAATGAATACACAGAAACTTGTATTAGGTTCAAAACTGCTTGGCCAATGACTAAGATTCTTATCTGTTAGCTCAGTCTTAACTATCATAAATCTATATATGTTATAAGACTTATCTTATCGGATGCCTTATGGCGTCCATCCTTGCTGGTGGATCACATTGTGTCGCTGGAACAGGAGCAGAGGGGAAAAGAAGGAACTTCCCATTTCTCCTCGCTCAAATATGAGTCTTCTTGCTATGTCACTTCCTGCCTGGACCATCACTTCTCTACTACATCTCCCAGAATCCTCTTTGACTCCTAGTTCCGTCTAGCTTGCTGTCTCATTGGCCAAACAGTATTTTATTTAACAATCAATAAGATAAACATGCACAAAAGTACTTCCCCCATCATCTCCTTTTTTCTGTCTAAATAAAAAGAAGGGTAACTTATCTTTTATAATAACTGAAGAAAACTATAACCATAACTGTCATTAACTCTATCAAAGACCACAGAAGGATAATATATAAACTCTAGATTCGGCAGAGACATCTTGCTACCTGGACAGTCACCCAAAGTTTCTCTGTAAAGTTGGGGCATCCATCTTCAGCCCATAGGCCATAGTGTGTCTGGCACATGTCTCCATTTCAACAGGAACTCTTTAGTACTGTCTTGTTTTGTAAGTTCAGCAGTCACTTTTTTGTGGATCCTGTATGTCCAGTTTATACAGCAACAAACAGTCCAGGCAAGAGCAGTTTCTTGCCCAAATGGCTAAACTTGCCATGTTGAAAGCAAACTCCATAATGAGTTTCTTCGATGCCCATCCTCCTTTATGATGTAATTGGTGTGCCAAGAGCAGTTGTGTCTCACTGCCAAGATAAACCCTAAACCATTTAAATGCCATATTTCTATAGGTCTTTGAAAGGTTTGAAGAATACCTAACCATCTCAAATACATCTCTGTATGTCTAGAAAACCTAACTAAACTAATTATAAGTTTTGACTATTATAGGTAAAAGATCTGCATAAACATAATATCTAAACAAGAGGAAACATATACATATCACAAAATTGACTTTAAAGTTGTATCAATAAATGAAAATCTATACCAAGGCAAAGTACTCATTCCTATATCCTATTCCCCTTTTCTTTCTTTAAAAAGAGATTGACTATGCTCATTATCATTTATAACTAACCCCATTTAAATGAAAACAAACATTTATAAAAAATGTTTGGGAATATCGGCATCGTTCTTTCTAAACTGTTTCCTGATGTTTGGGGACGATGTTCATATACCATAGGGATCGTGATAAAACATACAAACCTGACCAAGTCCTTGTTTTTGTAGTCTGTAAGGCTGTATCATCTCAGCTTTAGGGGGTCTTGCTTGATCAAACCATATTAGTCTGGAAGGAACCCACAGCTTTTGATTTTCTGTGGAAATATAAGTAAAACCTTTATTTCTAAGTAGCCTGTCTTTAGACTTAAATTTTGAAGTCAAAGTATTTTTAAAATGTACAAGTTGAATTAATTGAGCAGCATTTATAATCAAATGTATTTTAGCAGCAGTAAGTCTTTCCTCGGCAATCAAACATTTTTATTCATCTGGATCTGTCTTTATCATCTTGGTAGTGCCGAGTCTAAACCCCAGAAGCACGGGGACATTGAGAGCATATGGAAACTGCTCCCATGCTGCTCAGTGGCCCGACAGGGCAAGCTGTGGTGGCAGGTTTACCTCTTTCTCTGGGAACCTTGGGGCATGGAGTCATCCCACTTCTTACACCATTCTGTTACAATAAATCTTTCTGCCAAAAGCTGCTGAGCCCCACCACCACGTGTAAGCTTTCCGCCATCTGCCTGGCCGAGTTAGGCCCAAATGAATACACAGAAACTTGTATTAGGTTCAAAGCTGCTTGGTCAATGACTAAGATTCTTATCTGTTAGCTCAGTCTTAACTATCATAAATCTATATATGTTATAAGACTTATCTTATCAGATGCCTTATGGCATTCATCCTTGCTGGTGGATCACATTGTGTCGCTGGAACAGGAGCAGAGGGGAAAAGAAGGAACTTCCCATTTCTCCTCGCTCAAATATGAGTCTTCTTGCTATGTCACTTCCTGCCTGGACCATCACTTCTCTACTACATCTCCCAGAATCCTCTTTGACTCCTAGTTCCATCTAACTTGCTGTCTCATTGGCCAAACAGTATTTTATTCAGCAATCAATAAGATAAACATACACAGAAGTACTTTCCCCATCAGTTCTTGTCATACAGGTCTTTCGCCTGTTTGGTTAGAGTTACCCCAAGATATTTTATGGGTTTTTTTGTGGCTATTGAAAAGGGTAATGTTTCTCTGATTTCTTTCTCAGCCCTTTATTGTCTATATATAGTAGGGCCAGTGATTTTTCTGAGTTAATCTTGTATCGTACCACTTTGCTGAAGGTGTTTATCAGCTGTAGGAGTTACCTGATAGATTTTTTTTGGGTCACTTATGTAAATTATTATATCATCTGCAAACAGTGAAAGTTTTACTTCTTCCTTTCCAATTTTATCCCCTTGATCTCCTTTTGTTGTCTTATTTCTCTAGCAAGAGCATCAAGTACAATATTGAAGAGATATGGAGAGAGTGGGCAGCCTTGTCTTGTTCCTGGTTTTAGAGGAATCACATTGAGTTTCTCTCCATTTAGTTTGATGTTGGTTGTCACTTTGCTGTATACAGCCTTTATTATGTGTAGGTATATTGCTGTTATCCCTGATCTCTCCAAGACCTTTATCATGAAGGGGTTTTGAATTTTGTCAAAGGCTTTTTCAGCATCTAGTGAGATGATCATGTGGTTTTTCTTTTTCAGTTGGTTTATGTGGTGGATTACATTGATAGATTTACATATGTCGAACCATCCTTGCATCCCTGGGATGAAGCCTACTTGATCATGGTGGGTGATTTCTCTGATGTTTTCCTGGATTTGATTTGCCAGTATTTTATTGAGTATTTCTGCATCAGTGTTCATGAAGGAGATTAGTCTGTAGTTCTCTTTCTTAGTTGTGTCTTTTTGTGGTTTGGCTACTAAGGTAATTGTAGCCTTACAAAAAGAGTTTAGCAATGATCCTTCTGCTTCTACTGTGTTGAAAATTTTGAGGAGTATTAGTATTAGCACTTCTTTGAATTTCTGGGACAATTCTGCAGTGAAGCCAACTGGCCCTGGGATATTTTTGGTTGGGAGACTTTTGGTGACTGCTTCTATTTTGTTAGGGGTTATAGGTCTATTTATTTGCTTATCTGTTCTTGATTTAATTTTGGTAAGTTATACCTATCAAGAATGTTCATTTCCTTTAAATGTTCCAGTTTTGTGGAGTACAGATTTTCAAAGCATGATCTGATGATTCTCTGGATTTCCTCAGTGTCTGTTGTCATGCCCCCCTCTTCATTTCTGATTTTGTTGATTTGCATGTTCTGTCTGCCTTTTGGTTAGGCTGAATAAAGTTTTGTCTATCTTGTTGAGTTTCTCAAGGAACTAACTCTTTGTTTCATTGATTCTTTGTATTGTTTTCTTTGTTTCTACTTTATTGATTTCAGCTCCCAATTTGATTATTTCCTGGTGTCTTCTCCTACTGGATGAGTTTGCTTCTTTTTGTTCTAGGGCTTTCAGGTGTTCTGTTAATTCTCTATTGTGGCTATTCTCCAGTTTCTACATGAGGTCAATTAGTGTATGAACTTTCCTTTTATCACTGCTTTCAGAATGTCCCACAGGTTTGGGTGTTTTGTGCCTTCATTTTCATTGAATTATAGGAAGACTTTGATTTCTTTATTTCTTCCTTTACCCAGGAGTGATACAGTTGAGCATTGTTCAATTTTCATAAATTGTAGGGTTTCTGAAATTTGAGTTGTTTTTGAATTCTAATTTTAAGCCATGGTGGTCTGATAAGATACAGAGGGTTATTCCTTTTTTGTTTTATCTGTTGGGGTTTGCTTTATTGCCGAGTATGTGGTCGATTTTAGAGAAGGTTCCATGTGGTGCTGAGAAGAAGGTATATTCTTTTGTGTTTGGATGGAATATACATGTCTGTTACATGTCTATACATGTCTGTTAAAACCATTTGTGTCATAACTTCTGTTAGTTTTTTTTGTTGTTGTTTCTTTGTTAAGTTTCTGTCTGGTAATTCTGTCCAGTGGTGAGAGTGGGGTGTTAATGTATCCCAAGAAAAGTGTGTGTGGTTTAATGTGTTATTTGAGTTTTAGTAATGTTCCATTTACAATGTGGTTGCATTTGTATTTGGTGCATGGATGTTCAGAATTGAGACTTCATCTTGATGTATTTTTCCTGTGATTAATGAGAATTGACCTTCTTCATTTCTTTTTATTAATTTTAGTTTGAAGTCTAATTTGTTAGATATTAGGATAGCTTTACCACCTTGCTTCTTAGAGCCATTTGATTGGAAAATCTTTTCCCAACCCTTAATTCTGAAGTAACATCTGTCTTTGAAGTTGATAGGTCTTTCTTGTATACAGCAGAAGGATAGATTCTGTGTTT